TGTGATCTTTACCTGTTGATCTCTTTTGCATGCAATTGTTTATCTATCCATATTCGTGCCGACTTTTTTTGTTGGATCGCCGTGAGTTGCTTTATACCACTGCCTATACACACACACACACACACACATATATATATATATATATATAGGCTTATGCACTTAGAAGTAAATATGTGTTTTGTTGGTAAAAATCCTTTTTTATTTATGTTATTTTGCTGTTCCTCGTTTTATATTTCTATGATATTGGGCTACTATTAAGATTCGATAGCTTCCTCCATCGTACAAATGAGAGTTAGTTAATCTTACTTGTAATCTTGCTGTCTTAAGTCGACAAGATTATTGGAAATGGCTGCTGCGAATACAACTGATAATAGTGGCACTATCTTAACGGTGGCTATGATTAGCGGAAGCAGATAATGGTTTTCGGTACATTCGGTGTTGATGTTATTTTATAATTTACGGATGCAGATTTTGCTATCTTTGATTTCTATTATTGAAATGTATCCCTTGGCGCTGGTGTCAATGTTTGTGTTCATTTTCCAGTTTTCGAGCTGTATCCTTGGCAATACTGATACTTGCAGGTTTGCTGCTGGCTACATGTTCGATGCTTACATTGTCTCTGATTGCGTGTCTTTTTTTCTGAATGGCACAAGGTATGCTGATATTAATTTACGATTTTGGCTTCTACTCTTAGCAGACCGCTAGTTTTTGCCATCAACCGGAATCTTTTTTTTAACGTCACTTCTGCCAACCTCTTCCTCTTTGTCTATGGTTACTTTGCTTTTTCGATTGTCAGTAGAAACGTTACTATTTGTTATCTTGCTACGTTCTATTTTCTCTATTTTCTTCACAAACATATCAGATCATGCACTTATTTTGATGGTGTTTATTATCTTATCTGTGTCCTGGTGTCCCAGCATGCCTTTGTGCCGAATAGCTTTGAGCTCCTCGTTTTTTCCTACCTCATCATCGTTTTCTCTTTTCTGTTTCTCGATCCATTCCCTTTGTTTAGATCAGAAGAGTAAGCCCTACTGAATTGAGCGTTCCTGAGCTTCGGCCGTCTCTTTTTTCAACTTCAGACCCCCGGCTCGAGTCAGGGCCAAGTTCTCGTCCGTCACGACATTTTCACGCGTTCGCCTCCAATCTGCGCGGTCCTTCTTCCCTCTGAACCGGTCTCCTGACTTGGCTGATCGTGTTCCTCTCTTGCCACCAGATCCTTGGATCATCCTTCCTTACCCATTGCCTATCCAAGCGGGCCTCGAGTGTGGGTCGTCAAAGCGAGGACTTCAAGTCTGTTGTCTGTTTGTTTGCGCTTTTAAGAATATGTTTGCGTCTCCATTTTTATCCTGTTTCTTCACTCCTCCTCCTCATCTGCGAGTTCCATTATCCTCTCCATCTTTTTTTTCCACATTTTCATATATCTGCATGTTTGCCTTGGTGATGAATGTGTGCATCACCACTTATGCGCTTGCTTCTGTGAATCCAGACATACATGCAAACGTATGCATGTGTGTTTCTCCTTTTAGATAGCTCTTTGTGAACTCGCACAGTTACGATGGAATGCTGGCGTGGCTATTAGCATTCTTTACTTATTTCCATACGGTTTCATTCACACGCCTTGAGGCAGGCAAACACACATGAAACTATCTTATGACAGCAATCTCCTTCAGCTAGAGTGTTTTTTCTCTTTTTCGTTGTTGCATACCTTTTCTGTATGCACCCAACAGCGTGTTTTCTTTGACCAATGCTGAATTTCTCTCAAAATCAAGCACTCTGCATTCGCCTAGATTGACGCTTTACGGCACTTGAGACACAAGTGTTTGCATTTACATCGTTGCAGGGAGACGCAGATTGCTGCAATCAACCATTTCCCCACCAGTCCCACTCGTCGGGAGGCTCTTGTCAGACTCGTCCGCGGTGTACCAACCGGCTGACTTGGGGCTCGACCCTTGGGCTCAATCAACTCCTGGGGCCCACAACTGGTTTTGCCACCTGTTGCACCTTCTCCTCGAGATCAGCTTGTCTTCTCTCAAAGAGACCATCTCATCTGACCTCATGATTTCGGCCCAATACGAAGCTTCCCTCATACCTCATGGCATTTATTACTCTCATCTCTGCATGGCAGACTTCTGCGGGTGGAATCTGCTTCGGCAGACTTCGCCCCAAACCCAATCTTAACATCCCTTCGCCTCGATCTCATCCCCACATGCTGACCGTCAAAGTCGTTTCTCTCTTCCTCCTCTTCCCCCCTCTTCATTTCCCATCTCGGTTGTACCGGTTTAATTGATCTCCTTGTTTTGCGTTTTTCTGGGCGCACACATGCATTCCCTTTTTCGTCGCCCACCAAAGGCTGCACACGCCTCTCGTCGAGAAACAATCATTTAAAAGACCATCTGAGCACGTACACAGCCCAACAATGAAACATAATGATGAATATATATATATATATATGTGCATATGCATATTCCTTATATGACTATGAAAATATGAGTATTAACATGCCCATATCTACACACCGCATACAGCAGGCTCTTCCATAAATTTTCGACATTCCGGCTCAGATTCGATTCATATATTAATCTCTCTTTTTGTAATGCTACTTTATACGCACGTATTCGCTCTAGACTCTAGTTGCTCCCCCATCTGATGCCATGCGGCTATCAGGCCGGCATTTGACACTCGATCGTTGTCATTCGACACCGTCCAATTCTTCTTTTCAGGAACCTTCTTGCCAGGCGCCGCCCGTGGAGTGAAGTAAAATCAAGCAAAACGAGTATTTTGGAGTTTCGCTGCAATGGGGCTGGAGGAGGGCGAGGAAGGTGAAAGAGCGGGCTTGCACGATTGGTAGATTGGTAGAGTTCGACCGATGTACACGATGACGTGATGCCTATTTTCGGGTGAATAAGTCTCCATGCCGGCTTGACGGTGGCAGCAGACCACGTCCTCATTCATCCCGACCAGTGTCTTCTCTCCTCCTGCCAGTTCTCTCGCCTCTGCTTTTCGCATTCTTCTCACTTCTGTCCGCGAAATTGAGTCTCGGCAGAGAAACTGATTATTTTTTTAATGGCCCTTCGTCACTAGCATTATCGCGTTTTATACAAGCCCATATTATATTGCGTATTATATAACAATATTCACGATGGTAACTTTCCAGTTCTGCCAGTCCATCCTCATTCCACTTCACCACCTCTGCATTTATGTATAACCGATTCACACAGTGAACCTGCCAAGCACGAAAGTGTGAAAAGCCTGCTGAACACAGTTGCACAACTGCCCACCGCTCCTCCATTCCTCATGGTAGGGCCGTTTTGCATTTTGGCCTTGTCCAATCTGCACTCTTCGCTTGATTCCACTCTTTCACTTCATCACAGTCGCCTCGAGTCGCTGTAGCAACAGTCACGAACTCTCCTGCAATCCGTCTCCACTCATCCACAGCCCCTAAGACGACCGCCGGTGGCGATCTGCTCGCGGGAGGCTTCCCTGTTCCCCGATCCTCCGGCCGAACCCCCACTGACGGCCGGCCTACACGACCGACTCCGAGTCTCGCACACGCGCAAACGCGTCGGCAGGCCCAAATGCACCTGGAGACATGCACCCCTCGGGTAGGCACAATGCGCGACTGGCATTACTGGCGCGTCTTCTTGGTGCGTTTCAAATCACAACGACTCTCACTCTTATCACACATCCAGATCTTCATTTAAACACGAACTTTGTCAATGTGGCCTCTTCACCTCGGCCTTATTCAGAGGATACCACTTTCCAACAACAGTCTCCAACTCTTCGCTGGTTGCCCATCTTGGCCGGCCAGTTTCTTTCCTTTCTCCCTCCTCCTCCCCTCTTTCCCTCGTCCGCAACGTTCCATTCCTAGCTTCTGCAGCCCAACCACCAACTGATGAGTAAACAAGAGATCACTTTCTACTACCCATTTCGTCTTCTTACTAATTGTCCTGTATGGAGCCAACTGCAATCTCGCCGTCGCACGCGCCCAATCAGCACTCGCAGCGGGAATCGAACCGTAACTAAGAGTATCCCGGGTCAAAGGGCAGTCGTTACTTCACCTTGTAGCGGGATTGTCAATAAGGCGGACTCGTATTTTCCATTAGCTGTTTTCGCCCTATCTTCTTTAAGGTGATCAAAGAGGGATAGATGAATTTTCCCAAAATGATATGATGGTGAATTTCACATAGCCTTCTTTTACCTCAAGTGTTTATCCTCCTGGCTGGGGTTGATTGCAGCTTCAATCTCGACCAGGTCTTATCACCACCCCGAGTGGGACTCGAGCCATTTCAATCTCTACACGTTAACCAATACACCACATCACCACGGGTGGTGCAAGTATCGGTGAATCCTAATACATCATTTATATGAGATGTATTCGCCCTTTTTCGTTCAACGTGATGAAGGATATAATGAATGCATTTCATATAACTTATTCATTGGTAGTCCCGAAAATTGCTATAAGTTGTGTGACCCATTCGTTCTTGGAGTTGGCACCTTCCAAGACGTTTCGCTGGCATCGTAACACGCATCGTCAGTCAAATTTGCTTGCTCTTGCCCTAAAGTTTTAATGGGCATTTGTAAAAAGTTTTTTTTTAACCACAATTCGTCTGGCCTCGTTTTCATAACTTGGTCGTGTTGTCACGACAGCGTAGTTGGACGCACCTTTGCTGCTATAGCAATCATAATTCCCCGCGCAGGACAATCGACATCGGCATCGTCAGTGACTCTTGCCATTCTCAGCAGCAAGCTACAATTTGTTGAGTGAACGAATTCATTTGTCTCTTTGACTACTTCTAGCTGGGTCTTCAGAATGGCAAGTCTGATTGATGGTGCCGGCGAAACGTCCGGCAATGTGCCCAGTCTATCGTCCGACGTTGGTAACAATGATAACTACCATATCAGAGAACTTCGGACAGTGTTCAGTTGAGTCTAAGTCGCCCTGGCATCATGACCAAGTTGGCTAAATGAGGACAGACCACTTCTATACATTGAAGGGAGACTGTGGCCAAAATATAAGCCACGCCATCTTGGTTGTGGTCGAGTTTTTCGACGTTTCTATGGGCTGGCCATGCGTTTCCACTGCTCAGTTTCGACCCGACTCTGACGGGTTTCGGACCCGGCCCATCAGCACAACCATAGCCTGCCAGTGGGTCGCAGGGCAGATGTGATACCAAAGGCAAGTCGAGACTCGGCGTCGATCAAGGGGTCCGGTCAGTACACGTAAATCGGCATCGGATCTGTATATGCTTGCTTGCACATAAATCGGTGTGTGTTGCGATCATAATAAGATAGAAATGGAGTGAAAGTAGATTTCGAGGTTATCAGCTGCTTTCGCATATCAAGTCAATCAGAGCAGTGTGCCCCGGGATGTCGGATCCCACTTGGCTTTGTCACTTCGCGTCTCGAACGAGGGTCGTGAGTATCGTGGCGACGATACCACTCTACTACACATCGATCTGTACCATTAGTTCGGAGGGAAAATCACATTTTTCTGTGATGGTCAATATACGGCGTTTAATTGAAGATATGAAGACCAAGATAGTCGCAGTCTCCTTTCGATTTGTAGAAGTGGGTTGACCTCGTTGTCGCAACTTGGTCTTGTTGTCAGAGCGACCTAGTAGAACGCACCTAGTCCGAAGTCGTCTGTCATAGTTGTCATGATTCCCAGCATCAGACAGTGGACTTGGTACATTCTCAAACGAATCATGACAACTACTATGGCAGACGAATTCGGACTAGATGCGTTCTACATAGTCGTCGCCGTGACAACAAGACCAAGTTGCGACAATGAGGTCAACCCACTTCTATAAATCGAAAGGGGACTGCGACCATACCAGAGTCGACAGCATCTTGGTCTTCACATTGTAAATATTATTGAAGTTGTTTGACCTTGTTTTCGCAACTTGGTGATATTGATAGGAAGACTTAGAGGAACGCATCTAGTGCGGAGTCCATTGTCTGCATCATCATTTCCAGAGTGGGACCGTGGACGTGATACATTCCCAGACGTTCCGCCGGCATCGTTAGTGAGCCTCACTATTCAAAGCGCCATAGTACAACTCGTCTCTGAAGCTATGAATGGCGAGAGTCACTGACGCTGCCGGCGTAACGTCTGGGAATGTATCACGTCCACGGTCCTACTCTGGAAATGATGATGCATAATATGGATTCCGGATTAGGTAAGTCTTCATACCAATATGACCGAGTTGCGAAAACAAAGTCAGACAACTTGTATACAACGAAAGGAGACTGCGACCACATGAAAGGCTACCCTATCCCACTTGGCTTTGTCACTTCGCGTCTCGAACC